GCATCTTCCGGCAATTGCCAAAATGGTGCCTCGTGTGGTCACACGGTCACACACCGCGAGGCCCAAATCCTTCAACTTTTTTGGGGAGGAAAACTAGTGTGCAGTCAAGGTTTTCAGTTTTAAATGCGTTTCAGTCACGGTTTCGTGGATTTTACTCCAAAGCGATGAAAACCGTGAATGTATCCAACCCAGCTTTAAGGTTGGGTGGGGATGTGTTGTATTTGAGGGATGACCAAACTGGATTTAGAACTGAAAACATGACTGTCGCGTAGTTACCCCTTTTTTTTTCAACGAAGTTTGTTTCGAAGTTCTTTTCACGAACTCTCAAACTGCAAAAGAAAGTTGCTACCACCTCCGGAGGTGGTAGCAAAATGCCCTTCCCCACAGCCTGCCAGGCTGCTGACATTTGATACCCCGTTTGCTGCTTTTGCCACTTTCCCTGCCTCATGTCACTGGCCCAGCCATCAAATTTTAGCTATTTTGCCATAAAAGGCCCTAGTGTGAGTAGGCCCTAATATGAAAAAGGAAAGTTTTGAGTCTGTTGACATTGTGAAAAGAGTGCTTTGTGGATGATATGGAGGCAGAAAAATGAAAAGATTTGGTCCAATATTCCTCCCATCTTTCAGGGCCTTTGTTGATATGGTGAAAAGGGCAATCAGACAAATGATTTGCCAAGATGGCAATTCAGTAGTCCCTGTTGGATCCAGCGGCCTAGCTCAGTTGGTTAGGCACACAAGTGGCATTCAGGAGGTTGTGGTTCGAGCCCCGTGATAGCCTCCGGCGCACTTAGTGCCAACCAACTGTGATAGTCCGCTTGATACCAGTGTCTGGAGTTGGCCAATTAACCATTCCGCCAGGCCCTTTAGCTTGGTCTCGACATCCTCTTCTCCTTGTGACCCCCAAGCCTCGGGTGTGCTATCCATCATCTCTTCATCTGGGGGGCCCGCCGGTGGTCCCAATCCATGGGTTGAGGTCCAAAAGCCTGAAAGAATGGGTCCGTTCTGGGGGGGGTCTCTCCTGTGGTCGGAGGCCTTCCAGAAAGGTCTGTTTTGGGGACGATTCTTGCGGGGCCTGAGGCCCTTGAGAACGGTCCAATGCTGCCACCTCCCCTGAGGCGTGCTGCCTGGTCTCCTGGTGTGTGTTTAGGATCGCAGCCCCTTTCCCCTGGTCCAGCTGATTTTCTCCCTCATGTACCGTTACACCCCTTCCTTTTTTTTTTTCTTTTTTTTTTTTTAATGGGAAACATGGCTCCAATCTATTCGTGGGGAGCAGCACGTGCTGGGAACCGGGCCCAGTGTCCCATATGAAAGTTGACATAGAATTTTGAAAGAAATTTGAAAATTTAGGATCCCGGGGCTAAGAAGAATTTGATGTACTGAAAAAATCACTACAGAAGCTTCAAAATAGGCAAAATTCAGAAAACAACTCAGAGACCCCCCCATCATATCCTCTTTACCTTACTCCAGCAAGACTTACTGCAGCAGAGCCACCATCTCCACTGCTGATGTGCCCTATTTCCATCCTACAAGCTAGCCCCCTCACTAGTAGGACACTTAATATCCAACCGTCTATTCATCCCTATCAACCTCTTTTTGGAAAAATAGCGCCACAGAACAATCCTGCCTCCATCATCGAAGGGAAGAAACACAAACTGATCCGGGTGAAGTTAGCGGCCAGTGGCCGGTACCCGCCGAAATTTCAGCGCCAATCACATCCACTACCAACTTCCTCCTTCCCAATCACCTCCGTCCTTCCCAACTCCGTCGTCGTGAAGAACTTTAGAGAACCTCTTCTCCGCGGGGGCCAAGGACCATCATCACCCTGACATTCTTTGCCCCCACAAGAATCCCAGTCTCCGTCGTCGAGGTGATGAACTAGCACTACCCAATGCCAATCGCGCCAGAGTTCCCTCTCATCAGCCGGTACCCATCAGCCAGCTTAAACTACCTGACGCCAATCGCATCTGATAAGAGGCCTCTCTAGCCGGTACCCATCGAGCAGCCCTATTTCCTCCCCCTCTCCGTCCTTGTAAAGAATCATTTGATGCCCCTGGCCTCTTACTTCAAAGCAGGTCCCCAAAAGCTCCACAAGATGTCCCGTTAGGTTTTTAATAAGAGAAAAATGAGATGCCAGAGCCATTACCAGGCCTTGGCTACAAAACAACTTCTGACGACTTCTGACAACTTGACGAACCTTTGACAAACTTCTAACGAAATATAGAACGAAAATAGGAAACCAGCAAACCCTGAAACAGACGATCTGAAAGATCCCGCCTCCATCATCGAAGGGAAGGACCTTATTCATCTTCCCAACTCCGTCCTCGTAAGGAGCCCAGAGAACAACTTATCTCAGCAGGGGGGAGGCACCATCATCACCCTAAAATTCCTTGCCCCCATAAGAATTCCAGTCTCTGTCATCAAGGAAGTGAACAACACTGCCCAACGCCAATCGCGCTAAAGGTCGCCCTCAACAGCCGGTACCCATTGGACAGCTTAACTACCCAACGCCAATCGCATCTGTTAAGGGCTCCCCCTAGCCGGTACCCGTTGACCATCCCTATTTTACCCCCTCTCTATCCTTGCAAAGAATCCTTTGATGCCTTCCACCCCCTACTTCAAAGCAAGAAAACCCCAGACCCTACGGGAGATTCCATTCGACCATCTCATGAGCCCCCTGTTCAAAAGTCTGGCGATAATCTAACGAGTAGAATTAGGTCGAATTTAGAAAAAAACACATATCGACTCAAAAAACATAGGAATTCGATTACGAACAGGAATTAGATTTATACAAGATATACTATTTAAGAAACGGGATACAAGATAATACGAATTTAGAATTAGATATTAAAAAAACGATGTTCATTAGATTTCAAACCTCTACCATGGAAAAATTAAGAAGGAAATCAAGGATAAATCAGAAATATTCGAAAAAATTGAGAATGACACTATAGAAAATAATTATGGAAATTCAGAACTGAGAAATCCTTGTTAAGAAAATTCTAACTACGAGTTCCAGATTGTGAACCCTTCCCTTTTCGGAACATCTGGCAGTACATTGAAAGTGTTTTCAGAGTTGTGCTAGCACTAGCGCCCCGATGTCGGTGGACCGGTAGGGCCTGGTCACTCGACTAGCGCCTGGGGAGAACAGCTCCCCGGCTGTTGGGCCTGCGCACGTGCCCGATAGGTGCGAAGTGGCTTGTGGCCACGTGGCGCCTGTTGTTTGGTGACAATGATGTCCTTTGACACGTAAGCAGGGGTAGCGCCAACCGTGGGATTACAAGGTGTAGAACTGTGTGAGTGGCGCAACTAATGGGGGGAGAGATGGATTTGGTAGGGCAACTACAACAACAAGCAGAAGAATGGATTACCACACTGGAGGAGGGATGCAAGCAGATGGAGACGATAGTGAGGTTGCTTATGCAGCAGCAGCAAGAAGGGGGGGAGATCGATGGGGGAGCGATTTCGATGGACCAATGGTTGGAAGATAGGATTCAGGAGTTGTTAGATATCTTGTGGGAGCTGGAGGAGGGTCCGGATCCCCGGCTCGATGTCTACGTCGACTGGAGGTGGGAGGATGACAGGTTGGCTGCTTGCAGAACCCTCTTCACATTGGGGCGAGATCTACGCAATCAGTTGGAGTATCTGTATGGATTGCTGGCAGATGAAGATGATTGCTGCGAAAACACAAATAACAGCAACAACATCAGTTACAGCGACATCAACAATAGGGACGGTGTCAACAATAACAAAGATGGGGGGGACGACATCCACGGCTGCAACATAATGGGAGCGATACAGCAGGTGGACGAGGAAGATAATGGAGACGTCAACAACAACAACAACAACAACAACAAAAACAAAAACAAAAACAAAAACAAAAACAAAAACAATGGTGCGCATGGATTGGGATTGGGCGAAATGGGCGAAGGGGGTGTGAAGGATGTCAGTAACATCAACAACGATGGTGAGAACAACAACGGCGACAACGCCAACAACAACAACAACAACAACAACAACAACATGAAGGTGGAATTGAGAGAAGAAAGGGTGACGAACCGTGGTGATGCCACGATTGATAGTGACGAGTATAAGGGGGGAGATGGTGAGTGGTGGGTTGACCTGATGTCGCTTTCTTATCAGGTCGTGGCAGAGAGGGCTGTTGTTGGTGGTGAGAGGAAACATGCCTTCCATGAGGCAGGAGAGGGGGAAGTGGAGTTGGGGCTACTGGCAACGACGGCAGCAGCGGCGGTGACGGCAACGGCAAATACAGAAACTAATACAGCAACGACATCAACAACAACAACAACAACGATCGACCTCGAAGCGGCGGTGACGGTAACAGCGGAAACACCAACAACAACAATGATTGATGCTGACGGCGGTGCTTATCCTCATCATGGCATCGGCGACCATGGCGAGAGGGAAGATCCCCCTGATGAGGCAGATGAGTGCGGGGTGGAATTGGGGCTAATGGCAACAACGGTGGTGACAACAACAACAACGGCAACGGCCAGCGCCGCCACAACGAAAGCAGGAGAGCTAAAGCCAATAATAACAACAGCATCAGGGAAGTGGGGGGCAGCTAGTAGTTTGGTTGGGCTGACGAGGTAGGAGTTGTGGTTGAAGGTGAGAATTACCATTGCTTCCCATTCCTACCCGGTGTTTCATCATGTTGATTCGTCTTTCATTTTTTGGCACCGGGTGGGCGTATAGGATAGATGACCTCCCCCTCCTCCATTAGGATGATTGACTCTCAACTCTCATGCCCTCAACTCTCAATCATGTGGTCCCATGACGGGTTTGATGATTACGAGTAGGATAGCTGCCGGTGATTGATGTTGCCCGGCCTGGGGGGCTGTTCGTCCCGTTGGTTAGCGGTGGGCTGATTAGTGATTAGTTGGCAGGAGGTCAATCCTTCCCTGCGCAGGGAAGTAATCAATGCCCCTTGTTCGTTTCACATGATAATGCATATTGGCTGTTGGACTTCACGTTCAGATCATACATCTCTCACTATTGATAGAGCTCTGTTTTTTAGGTATGTTTGACAAAGATCATATACATCATATTGCGCTTTGGATTTGTGTTTACAGTTTGATAGATATAGAATAAAGACATATATTGGCMGCTCCTGAYTGTTGGATATAGTTACACAACATGGTATAGGGATGCTGGACCCGATTTSCAGCAGATACAAATCACATTAGTGTAATACACATTACATCATGATTAGGGTTTCRCCTGATAGGATTGATGTYTCAGTCTGWTGGYGAGGTTYTATAKATCAGATGGATAGGGRCGCTGGACCCGTTTTCCAGCACATACATTCACACCATGGCACACGGACGCTGGACCTGATTTCCAGCAGATATATTTTCATCATTGTATAGGGACGATGGACCTGATTTCCAGCAGGTGTAGCTCCCCACCAATAGATGGAGCCTTCGACGCTGGGGCCTACTTACCGGGGATGCTCTTATCACCTCGGTCTCTGATCCATTTGCATCGTCATCCCCAATATCCCTCCGCAACGTGCATGTTTTGCTGAACCATGTCTTCAGTTGATTGGCATGAGCAGCAGACAAACCTGTGATAGGCGGTAAGGCCTTCTCAACACGATCAGATTGTATAACGGCCCAAACAGCATCCACCCATTCCTGCTTTCTTTTTGGTTTCTTCGCATTCGATGGTAGGGGACAATGATTCTCCAACCATTGTCGAAGCACACTGACAGTCAACATGTGCAACTCGTCGGTCGTGTCACAATCATCCACGGTTTTCGGCATGGTCAACTTGCCGCCCACTATTTTCTCAAGAAAACGCTTGGCCAAGTTCTTGGCTTTGTGCCACTTATCCTTTGAATCACGAATGTTACGTGGAGGCAATAGAACTGACGCATGCTGACAATCGTCATGAACCACCTCCGATATGCTCAAACCTTTCTCATGAATGAGTTTATCAAGTAGCATCGCAGTCGCAGGTCCCTCGAGTTTCCACGACGATTGCGTTGTGGAACGTCTCAAACTGACCATACCAACAATAAGAAGCGTCTCCATGTGCATGGCTGTGACTGAGCAATGTTGGGCGTCACGAGATGAGTCGTAACGCCCGTCAATTGCTAGAACCACGGGTTTTCCGGACGATTTCACCTTCTCGATGGCAGCGTCATAAAACGATTCGGACATAGACACGGCCTTCGCACACCACCCCACAGTCTCAGGACCCGTGTGTCGGAAAAATTTGAAAAATGAGCCTTTCGGAACCGGACGCAAGCCAAGCGCACTAAAAAAATCGTTGGTTTGCGTGTGTGTCAAACCACATGACACAGCAGCGTGGTACAATTGAGTTTCCGCACGCGTTCCCATCACCTTCCCATTGCCATGGCATGAATGCCACGTCCATGTGCAATTGTGGGGACACACCAATTTCACAGTGCAATAGTGACCGGGGTATGAAATTTCAGTGACACGAGCATTAGCCTCCTTTCCGTGCAGAGGGCATGTAAGATCAAACAGACCCAGTAATTGTAACAATTTGACAGGCTCCACCAAAACGAGATCGGGACGGCGTGGATCATTCCACAACTTCATTGTGTCCTTCACGGTACTACGCTTATCTGCAGATAAAGGACCGTTTGGAGAACATGTGGCCACCCCGTCCGCCCAAGGCAGACCTGCCTCACGTCGAGGACCGATACTAGGTTGACTACTCGATCCTATATCAGCACTCCCAGACGTGAGGGGATGGTTATCCATGTGGTTGCGAATTTTCTTGGATGACCACTGAAGGAGGGTCTCAATAACATTGCTGAAGGTCTTTCCTGGAAAAGCCTTCCACAACTCCTCCACTTGCTGCTTCACATGAGGTTGTAATCGTATTGGTTTGTTGTTGTTGGATGGCCATGATGACCTCCAACGACCTCCACTGGATGTCGGACGAGTCCCTGTTCCGGCTCCGGACGACTCTCCAACCTCGACCTCCACATCATCACCATGAAGGGGGGCACGTATTTCAGAATCGGGAGTACTCCCATCAACGGCGGGTAGAAAGGATCCAGATGATGAAGGTTCCCCTGGGGGAGCACAACCCTGTTGTAGAGCAATGTGTGCTTGTCGTACACCCTGCCCCCCGCTCCGCAGAGCAACACGACCGCCACGGAAAGGACGCGAAGTGTGTCCTAAATGCCCGTGCCGCAAAAGTGTATGTGCCGACAGCATACCTACGGGTGCAGAACATACCTCGACCGCAACGGGGGCAGGTGCAACTCCTTCATGGGGCATTGCGTGGCTTGGTTGCGGCCCCACGACATCGGATCTTCCCACAGGTGGACACGTATGTTCACGGACACCCGCACCACGTCGCGAGTCAAGAGCGGCAGCAACACTCCTTGAGGCAGGCACGTCTTCATCCGCAGGTGCACGCAACTGCTCACTTGGTTGACCATCATTGAACAAGCTTCGGTGCCGTTGCGACGGACGGGCACCTGTGAGCTTGTCAGGTAATGATCTCCCACGACTAGACTTCTTTGGTCGACCCACGTGCTCTGACGGGATGTCTGTAGCATTCCTAGGCCGCGGTCCAGGCAATGGCAACCCCGGAGGTGTGGACAGACCATGCCAAAGTGCCGCTGAGCAGTGTGCAAAAGCCGTGGCAGCAGCACAGACGCCGGACTCAAGCAAGGGAGACCTCAAAGTGCGCTGTTCAATGAGCCTGGGAGAACGACGTTGCTCAGCCAGCCTCGGAGAGCGGCGAACTAACACCGGGGTTTTCTTCCCTCCTTCCGGAGTGCGGTCACAGTCTGCACCTGCATGACCTCCCATGTCCTCCATGTCAACAATGTGCACGCAGGTGTGTGTGTGTGTGTGTGTGTGTGTGTGTGTGTGTGTGTGTGAGAGAGAGAGAGAGAGAGAGAGAGAGAGAGAGAGAGAGAGAAGATAGATAGTAAATAACACAAGATAAGAAAAATCCAGAAAAGCAGAAAGAAATACACAAATAATAAAAACTAACAAACATTAGACAGAGATTGAGGCCCCACAGGCCTGTCCCTGAGTCGTTGGAGTCCTCTGTGCGAGGGGCTGGGAAGGACCAAGAAAATCTTTCATGCTATGCACATAAAAAAAAAAATGAAAACTTAGGCCCTGGCCATCGAAATGATCAAGTTCTTAGTTCGAGGCTTGTTTTATTTTTTTTCTCCCCGTGATGCAGTTTTGCCCCGCCTCGGTGGACCTGTACTGGAGTGAAAAGAAGTCAAAAAAAAAAAAAAGGTAAAAAAAGTGATCCGCTTTGGATTCAGCCTTCACACTGGGGACACACAGTACAGGGGGTGCGCCATTCAGCAATGTTAGTGAAGTCCCCCAACATGCAAAAAAAAAAAAAAAGAACGACGTTGCTCAGCCAGCCTCGGAGAGCGGCGAACTAACACCGTGATGCAGTTTTGCCCCGCCCCGGTGGACCTGTAGTGGAGTGAAAAGAAGTCAAAAAAAAAAAAAGGAAAAAAAAGTGATCCGCTTTGGATTCAGCCTTCACACTGGGGACACACAGTACAGGGGGTGCTCCATTCAGCAATGTTAGCGAAGTCCCCCAACATGCAAAAAAAAAAAAAAA